AATGCAGCAGCCCAGTTTGAAAAAGACAGATGCACCCCTATGTTTATTGCAGCACTATTTACAATAGCCAAGAAATGGAAGCAACCTAAGTGTCCATCAGTAGATGAATGGATAAAGATGTGGTACACAGACACAATGGAATATTATTCAGCCATAAGAAGAAAACAAATTGTACCATTTGCAACAACATGGATGGAGCTAGAGGGTTTTATGCTCAGTGAAATAAGCCAGGCAGAGAAAGACAAATACCAAATGATTTCACTCATATGTGGAGCATAAGAACAAAGAAAAACTGAAGGAACAAAACAGCAGCACAATCACAGAACCCAAGAATGGACTAACAGTTATCAAAAGGAAAGGGACTGGGGAGGATGGGAGGGAAGGCAGGGATAAGGGCTGGGAAAAAGAAAGGGGGTATTATGATTAGCATATATAATGGGGGGGGGGCATGGGGAGGGCTGTGGAACACAGAGAAGAGAGTAGTGATTCTACAACAACTTATTACGCTGATTGACAGTGAGTGTAATGGGATTTGTAGGGGGGACTTGGTGAAGGAGGTACCCTAGTAAACATAATATTCTTCATGTAATTGTAGATTAATGATAACAAAAAAAAAATTAAAAAAAGAAAGTAAGTTGCAGAGGTCCTGTTTTCCAGATGAGGGAAATAACTTGGTAAACTCAGACTTTAGGAGAGAAATGTCAGAGTAAATAATATATGTAAGCCACAAGGATAGAAAAGTATTACACGTGCTTGTCGTCTACTCAATTCCCATTAAGCGTTTGATTATATACAACAGCAATACTGAAACAGTGATTTTTAAATTATATTATTTTAATTTATACCTGATTTTACTTTTCAACATCACCTCAACATAAGAATTCAAAGAAAATAATATATCTAACAAAATTAGAAGACAAAAATAAAATTACAAGACAGACATATAGGATTGCAGATTAAATAATGATCAGGAATAACACAGTACTGAAGTAAGAGAGGGAGATGACAATCAATGGGCCAGCTGTGGTAACATAAACTACATATTTTATATAACAACTTTTAGTTGGGCTTCTCCCTAGGGCCCCTTACCCCATTGTAGCTACCAAACTGATCCCCTCCTTCCATTCACTAATGAACTTGCTAAAACTTATGTCCACTTAATTCCCATTTAATCCTCAATTCATTCAACTGGTAATTTGGAAGATCACAATGGCCTCCCCTAAATCTTTTGTCTGTTGTTAGTTTCCATCCTACTTGACATGTCTAGAACCTTACACCAATGTCCAGTCTTAATGTCTTGAAATTCTCTGACTTCTTGTCTTCTAGGATAACAACTTCTCCAGGCTCTAATCCTACTTGTTTCTTTCTCAGCCTCCTTTAATCATTCCCCCTTCTCTGAGAACGTGAACAATGATTAAATCTGTTTTCTTCTTCCACTATGGGGCCCTCCAACCCTGTGGATTCAACCATCACCTGTATCAGTGTTTGGTAACATCACAATAACGTGTGGAGCTTTTAAAATTACAGATGAGACTAGTTTCCACCAACATGGCAGACTTAGATGGTCAAAAAAACACCTCCAGGACAGGGAGGAAAAAAAAATGTATGCCTAAGTAAGCAGCAAAATACATGAATTCCTCAGAGGCCAGAAACAAAAAAAAGTGTGTCACGATCTAGAGGAGTAAGCATTTGTCCTGAGGGTAAAATTTGCTAAAGCAGCTTTCATAACTCAGAGAAATATTTTACTTCCTAGATAACTGGCTTATTATAAAAGGATATAAAAAGGATTATTATAAAAGGTATCTTATTATAAAAGGGATCTTTGATGGCCTGTAGCCTGAGTACTGAGAAACTCTAGGCAATGAATAAGGAGGCAAAGCCTAGCACTGCAACAGGTGGAAATTCATTGTCAGAGAATCCTCAACTAGGATTAAAAAAACAATGCCTTTGGGAAGATGGTAAAGATAGCCTTTATCTCCTCTATGGCTCTTGGTAGTACAGGAAATGAGAAAAAAAACTCCTGAAAATTCCTAACCGTAAGCCTGCATTTACCCAGTGTGGGGCATGAATTCACACCAAAAATATGGTCAAAGAAATCTTAAGATCATGACTTAATTTGAGTTTTGTTATAGTGTCCCCTCCAACTCAGAGTGCCAATCAAAAGTCCAGGTTGTTACCTCCATCTATACAGATCAGAGGTTCCCACATCCTCTCCTGAGGTTCAACTGATTTGCTAAAGCAGCTTTCAGAACTCACAAAACATTTTACTTCCTAGATAACTGGCTTATTATAAAAGGATATTAGTTCAGGAACAGCCAGATGGAAGAGATGCATGGCGCAAGGTATGTGGAAAGGGTACAGAGCTTCTATGCCCACTCTCTCCAAATCTCCAAGAGCTCACCAACCCAAAGGCTCTCTGAAGCCTGTGCTTTTGGATTTTTATGAATTCTTCATTACAAAGGCATGATCGATTATATCACTGGCCACTGGCGAATGATTCAACCTCTAGCCCCACTCTCCACCTGGAAATCAAGGTGTGGGACTAAAAGTTCCAACCCTCAAATCACAGGGCTGGTTCTCCTGGAAACCAGCCCCCATCCTTAAGTGTGATTTAAAAGTCATCTCATTAACGTAAACAAGACAACTTTAACACTCTCACTTAGAAAATTCAAGGGTTTTAGGAGCTCTGTCCCACAACTGGGGATGCAGACCAAATACCATAAATCACAGTATCATAAGAAGACACCATTTATTATTCTTGGTCATCCTAAAGACCAGACCTAAAGACTTGAAGATCACCAGCAAGACTGACTTTTGTTATACAACAGATACTCAATAAATATTTTGGGATTAAATGATTTGCTGTGAAGGTTAAATGACAGAATAGTTATGAACCATTTAATGTGCTGATTATATTCTTTCCCTATTAAAGAAGAAAACACAATCATACATATTGTCTCAGTCCTCAAAACGCTATTAACGTACATATTAGTATTACCACTTTGTAGAAGTTACCTACCTCTGTAGAAGGGTTTCATGGAGATTAAGTAATTTCCCCAAGATTAGGCAACTAACAGGTGAAAGTACTAAAATTTGAACCAAAATCTACTGCTCCATCCAAGTAATTTTATTTCCTCAATATTCCTCAAATTCATTTCTCCGTATTTTAATTGCCTTAGTTCAGGGCTTCTTTCTCAGGAGCCACAGAGCAGTGTCATAAAAGCACTGAGTTTGGAATAAAATACAATTATATTTGAATCCAGTTGTCCTTTGTTGGTTGTCTCATTTTATATTTGTAAATTAGAGATGATACATGTCTACCGTGGTTGTGGTAAGTACTAAAGAAAATGCTCAGTGTCTAGCTGATAGTAAAAATGAGTAACTTGTATTATGATGATTGTCACATTTGTCTTTTTACCCCCAATCTTCTTCCTACCATTTTTTAAATTAATAAGTTATTTTTCTAAAACACAAATAATTTGTCAAGCTGACTGTACAGCCAAATCTCAAACCACTCCCTCCCCACCCTTTACATTCCTTTTTATGCTACCCGATACTGCACACATATAACCATGCTCTCATGTTACCAGGCCTTTGCACATGTTACTGCTGTCTAGAATACATTTCCCGCCTCATACACTCAGCAAATTCTAACTCATCCTTCAAACCTTGAACTCAAATATCTTCTCTGAAAAATTTTCTCTAACGCACCCTGATCATTCACTTTGCCATGTTACTTTTGTACCTCACACATACTTTCATGTTATAATGATTGCATTGTTCGTGTGACCACTTACTGACTAAAATGTGAGGAGGCTCCTCAAGTGTTGGATATTCACTTTGTATCTCGAACACGTAGCATAATGCCCGGAACTGGAGCCCTGCTAGATACATACAGTTGGCCCCTGAACAACACAGGGATTAAGGGCACCAACCCACATGCAGTTGATAATCCGCCTATAACTTCTGAATCCTCAAAAACTTAACTACTTAAGAGTCTCCATTAACTGGAAGCCTTACCAATAAGATGAACAGACAACACATTTGTATGTTATATGTATTATATCCTGTATTCTTAGAATAAAATTAGCTAGAGAAAAGAAAATGTTTTTTCAAACTCTTGCAAATCTCCAAAAATCTTTCCAGTATATCCATTGAAAAAAATCGGCATATAAATGGACTCAAACAGTTGAAACCCATGTTGTTCTGTATTTACTGGGTTAAATCTAATCCCACACTCAATCTCAGAAACACCCTCAAACAGTTTTCTCTTCCTTTCTCTCACATCATTCTCCATCATATTCTCCATTGGTCTCTCCTTTCCATCTAGTGTTAAAAAGAAACACCCAGGCCCAATACAGTGTCACTTTCACTAGGCCAAGTCACCAAACCAAATACTTAAGCCCAATTAAAATTTTAACCTCCCATAGAAATGTAGTCAGTCAGGAATTTTCTGGTCAACATCATCAGTAAGATTTTTGCCAATAACCTTCCCCCACCCTCTTGTCCATAAAAACTTTCCATTCTGTACAATTCCATGGAGCATCTCTCTGCTTGCTAGAGGGGATGCTGCCTGATTCATGCATCACTTAATAGGGCCAATTAGATATCCAAATTACTTAGATGAATTTAGTTTTTTAACACTAGTAACATGCCTTCTCTACTCTAAATTTAAAAAAAGCCTCCTTTGATTCTGCTCCAGCCTTTAAGTACTAATTAATTTCTCTCCTCAATGACTAATACATAATCATTTCTCAATTTATCATCTCACCAATTAGAATATTTTGTTTTCTCAAATCACAAAGTCCATTTAGCCTATTCAATAACTATACATATTCTTTCTTTTAGAATTAGATGTTTAAATGTATTTTCTTTACCACATTAATAAAGCCAAAAATTCTTCTCTGCCCCAGTGAGAAAACTGTAAGCTATTTACCAAAAAACCAAAAGTCTATTCAAAGGAATATTTACCTATCTTTTAAACAGTAAAAATGTGTTACCTGAATAAGAATTAAGAGAAACTGTCCACCGTACTGTTAGTCCTATTAGGACCACGATTGTCATCAAGTACCATTTCTCCATATTTCTTCTTCAAATTTAGGGAGGGGGAAAAAAAGAGGGCAAATGCCAGAATACTTTTAACACATAGTCACTTCCTTTCTTGATCAAAGAAATGTTATCAATTTTTTGGCATGACGTGTTTGAGAGGATTTTAAGTGATGCTTTGTTTCCAGTTAAATACTGATTTTTAGATCTATGAAGAAGTAGCCTGGAAGAAAAAAAACAAAGAACCAAGATTTAGGACAGCACAGCATATCAACAAACTCATTAAAGCAAGTAGAAAGATGGAGAATGTGGGAGGTAGGGGAAGTCCACAGAGGAAAGGGGTGGCTTTAATTTTATTCCCCAGTCCACTAGTTGGGAGATACACACCTCAAAAGGGAGCTCCCCCTTTAAATGGGACTCAGTGTATCTCAAGATAAAGTAAGGATCTTAAAAGGGAATATTTCTGAGTAAAGAAAAACACAGCTTTGTAGATAGAACAGTCAATTTCAGCTAAATCATGTTCACCTACTGGGAAAAATAAGATCACAAAGGTAAACAGAAAGATGATTTATCTTCAGTACAGAAAGAATTTTACCTTTCTATTTAGTTTGAGAAAGCCTGCACTAACTTATGTAGTTTGATTTTTTACTTCTTTTCTTCCAAAATATACTTGTGTTAATCACAACTTTCCATTTTAGAGAATGAATCTTTGCAAGAATCATTAAAAACAGCACCAGCTCTTAAGAGAAAATACAGAAGAATGTAAATAACCATCTCTATGTTTCATTTTTATCACTTTATTCCTTGTGTTGGGGGGTTTAAAGTAAAAGGTTTTGAAAATTGTGGGCCATTTTAACCACAGGATATACTTTAATTTAAATATATTCAGAAAAATATGATTAATAAATCAACTGAAAAGTTTCGGGGAAAACTGGCACATTCCACCTATTGGACAAAAATCCTTTTCTTACTTAAAAATATCCCTGAAAAAAAAAAAACAGGAAGGGTCAACTCTAGAACTAATGAAGTCTAGCATCTCAATCAAGTAGAATGACTCAAAGCATTTAATAAGGTTATTTAATTGTTATTCAAATTTGGATTATATAAATTCCTCCCTTCCACTGCATTCTAATGATCTCCCTTAAATCATTTTACTATTCACTAGAACTTCTATCACAGAGGTCAACTAAAAGGAAAATTTAAATTTCTTACTAAATGTTGATTCTGAATTTGGATATAGATTTTTAGGCCTATAAACTATTCAAATTCTTTTTTAGTCTAACTCTAAAGGCACCATTTATCAACATGCTGCACTATATATTCCAGAATTATAATACAACACTCCTTTTCTGCTGATACAATGTTTAAAATTGATTTTATAAATGCTAATCCCTGGATTTAAAAATATAGCTTAACCAGTATTTTATCTAGGAAATTTAAATCACCAATATGATCAAATTAAATCAATTATTCACCACTCCAGATAATCATTTTTAAGTACTTTCCCAGGAATGTAAAGTAACAAAAATAAGACTACTAAGAACATTAAATAATCTAATGAATTTAAAAAGAACATAATGTTTAACTGATACCATGCTGATCAAGTTTGCTAAGAGCACAGTGGTGGAAGGGTGAGCTAACTGATGGATGAAACCATCATATTCAAAAACATTTGGACAACATCTACTGTGGACCAAATCTTACTCCAAAAATCCCATGACAGGGATAAATTGAAATAAATTCAAGGTCCTGCACTTAAATGTGAAAATAAAAAAAAAACATCAAAAATTAACCTCATAAGTACTGAAAGGGAAGCAACAGGTAACAGACGATTTGTTTTGTAGAGGCCCAGAACTGATGACCAGTGTTATATGTATTTTGGATTAAATATTAGGAAAGCTTTAGGGTAGCTTTTCTGACAATTAGAGCTGTCCATAAATGAAATAAGCCTCTTTTTGACAAGGTAGTTCCTCTATAAAAGTTTCAAACAGAAGCTGAGCAACTACTTGACTAGAGTATTTTTAGGTATAGAATAGATAGATGACTAATTTCTAAAGTGTATTCTAAATCTGGTTTTGGAAGTATATTAGGTACCTGGATTAATGTAAATCAGGACAATACAAAATATTCATTCTTCCAACGTGTTAATGCTTCCCCTAATTCCCAATAGTTCCCCATGTACCGTCACTTTTGTGGGGTTTCTTTGATGAGTAAAGTGAATAGGCTTTCCCATCCTTCACAAGTGGCTCATCCTACAAACTGATCAAAAACATCTCTTCATTACATCTATTATACTTGGAATGAAATCCAAAATAAAACAAATCCAAATACCCCAGCCATAAGACCTTCCATGATCTGAGCTCCGCCTGCCTCTCCAATTTCATCTCCTCCCACTCTCCCACAAGGTCTTCCTTGTTTTCCTAAAATCTGTCAGATTCGTAACTCTATGGTTCATACTATACCACTTCTATTCCCTCTACTGGTACACACTTACCCAACTCACTGGCTAATCTTTTGTCATTCACCTTGTATCTCAAATTGCAGCCTTTGAAAGGTTCCTGACCTCTTACCATTTGCTCGAATACCTTCTTTAATTTTCTTCCTAATTCTTTTCATATCAAAAATTGTTTTTTCACACAGCATGGAACAACCTCACAAACTTAATTTAGAGTAAAAAAAGCTGGACACCAAAGAATACATACTATATGGTTCCATTTATGAAAGACTCATAAACAGTCAAAATTAATCTATGGTGTTAGAAATCGGGAAAGAGGTTACCTTTGGGGAGGCAAGAGGGGATGGTGATTGGGACTGATCTCCAGAAAGATCTTCTGGGAAGATGCTGTAAATGTTGTTTCTTGATTTGAGTGGTGGTGAAAAGATGTGTTTACTTTATAAATCAGCAAGTTACCGCTTATGAGTTGCCTACAGTATTTTCTCCTACGTATGTTATATTCCAATTAAAAAAGTATAAAGAAAATTACATTTATCTGTCAACTAGAATATAAGCTCCATGCAAGCTGGGATTCTCCAGTCTTAGTCGGGGCTGTTTCCTGCACTTAAAACAGTGTTGGCAAAAAGCAGTTACTCAAAACGTATTTGCCTAATGGACATCGTGTTAATAAGGGAGGTTCCTAATTTTACTGAGTCCTTTGTAGTTAAAGATATTATGTCAGCCTTTCAACAGTAAATCTCTGCTCCTTGAACAGTAAGAAGGGTTCTTTATTAGTTTTTCCATCTGCAAAGCAGTTAACTTTCTAGCCCATCCACGTGCCCTGTAGTTGGCACGCGGGCGGCAGTTTTCCGTTCTACTGCGTCCTAAGCGTGCATCTCCATTCCCCAGGCCGATCTGTTCCTTTCAGTCTGAAGGGTCCTTTCCCCAGGGTAGACACAACATCAGAGGCGCAGCTATCCCAGATTAGCACGTCTGGCAAAAAGGACCCCTCCTGACGCTTCTCCTCCTTTCGAACGGGCCGGACCCTCAGGACCACAGGAACTAGGGCGCCGGGGCCGCTCCACCACCATTACCGCGTCCCGCGCCCGACCCCCAAGCGAGCCGGCAAGGTGGGCTGGGAAGGCCTCGCGAGCCTTCCCTCCGACTGCAGCGGAGCCAGACGCCCGGTCGCCAGCAGGACGCGGGCTCGCGGGGCGTCGCAGGCCTCCCGCTCCCCTCACCGTGGGCAGGCGGTGCAGAACCCCCAAGGACCCTGGCGCTTACCCAGCCGCCGGCGGAACGCTGGGATTCGCGCCTGCAGCGAGCCCCAAAAAGGCGCCTGCGCACTCGCTCCCGCGAAGGACTGCTGCTCTGGCCTTCCGCCTCCGCGTGCTCGCGCGCCATTCGCGCGCTGAGCACGAGAGCGAGCCCGTCGAGCGTGAGGGGAGGGGCGAGGAAAAGGCTCAGAGAGGAAGCCGCGGGTCTGGGAGGCGGGGCACGACTGGTGGAACGCGAGAGGCCTCTTAGTCCAAGGGTGCCTCGGGGGAGGTGGAAAGCCCCTTGCTCTTCTTTCCTGGGATCGTGGCCAAGGCCTGAGTCCACGGATTCCTGTCAGGGGCGCGTCCCGGCTCACTTCACAGAGTGGAGAGCCTTTTGCTGCCGGGCAGAAGGTCTTCCTCTGGGCATGTGCCCTCAAGAAGCCAAAAAGCCAACCTGCTTGACTTTCTTCAAGTTACATGCCTGCGAAGATGAGTTCAGGGCTAGGAAATCACTTCATGTAAGAAATATTGTTGAACCGTCCTCCATGAAGATTTTTTTATTGTTATCATTAATCTACAATTACATGAACAACATTATGTTTACTAGGGTCCCCCCTTCACCAAGTCCCCCACCCCACAAACCCCATTACAGTCACTGTCCATCAGCGTAGTAAGATGCTGTAGAATCACTACTTGTCTTTGTGTTGCACAACCCTCCCAATGCCCCCCACATATTATACATGCTAATCGTAATGCCCCCTTTCTTTGTCCCCCGCCCCTATCCCCCCTTCCCACCCATCCTCCCCAGTTCCTTTCCATTTGGTAACTGTTAGTCCATTCTTGGGTTCTGTGAGTCTGCTGCTGTTTTGTTCCTTCATTTTTTTCTTTGTTCTTATACTCCACATATGAGTGAAATCATTTAGTACTTGTCTTTCTCCGCCTGGCTTATTTCACTGAGCATAATACCCTCTAGCTCTATCCATGTTGTTGCAAATGGTACAATTTGTTTTCTTCTTATGGGTGAAAATTCCATTGTGTATATGTACACATATTCTTTATCCATTCATCTACTGATGGACACTTAGATTGCTTCCATTTCTTGGCTATTGTAAATAGTGCTGCAATAAACATAGGGGTGCATCTGTCTTTTTCAAACTGGGCTGCTGCATTCTTAGGGTAAATTCCTAGATGTGGAATTCCTGGGTCAAATGGTCTGTCTATTTTGAGCTTTTTGAGGAACCTCCATACTGCTTTCCACAATGGTTCCCACCAGCAGTGTAGGAGGGTTTCCCTTTCTCCACAACCTCGCCAACATTTGTTGTTGTTTGTCTTTTGGATGGTGGCAATCCTTACTGGTGTGAGGTAATATCTCATGGTTTTAATTTGCATTTCTCTGATGAATAGTAATGTGGAGCATCTTTTCATGTGTCAGTTGGCCATCTGAATTTCTTGTTTGGAGAACTGTCTGTTCAGCTCCTCTGCCCATTGTTTAGTTGGATTATTTGCTTTTTGTTTGTTGAGGTGCATGAGCTCTTTATATATTTTGGATGTCAACCCTTTATCAGATCTGTCATTTATGAATATATTCTCCCATATTGTAGAATGCCTTTTTGTTCTGTTGATGGTGTCCTTTGCTGTACAGAAGCTTTTCAGCTTGATATAGTCCCACTTGTTCATTTTTGCTTGTGTTTCCCTTGACTGGGGAGATATTTTCATGGAAGAAGTCGCTCATGTTTATGTCCAAGAGATTTTTACCTATGTTTTTTTGAAGTTTTATGGTTTC